GCAAAAAAGATAATTGCTTTGTTTGAGTTAATACCATCTGAGGTTTTCCGAGTATAGTGGTTTTGCTACATTTAGTTCTAAACTTTCAAATTAACCATCTGTGGTCTTTCGACTTTCAAATTTAACCATTCGTAGTCTAAGTTAACCACCCATGGTCCTTCAAGTTTCGAAATTTAACCAGCAGTGGTCCTCTTGAAAGGACCATGATTGGTTAAAATTTAATAGTTGAAGGACCATAAGTGACTAACTTGGACCAGGTTAAATTTGAAAGTCAAAGGACCACAGATGGTCAATTTGAAAGTTTAAAACTAAACGTGGCAAAACCACTATACTCGGAGGACCTCAGATGTTATTAACTCTGCTTTGTTTTCTGGTGGAGCGCACTATACTTGCAAAAACTAAGACAGTAGCAGGAGCACCGGCCGGTCTAGAACGTGTCAATAGCAAACGTACAATTAATTATATTGGTAGATGGGACTTGCAACTTGCAACTTGTACGTAGAGCTAGCGCAGCGTGGACTTCCAAGTCTTCATGCTTAGCTTGTATGTAACGTTGAGTTGAGTTCATGGTGAACAATTGGATCAACAAATAATATTTAATTAGCTGGATCTCATGGCACGCAAGCTAAGTTCTCCACTGTGGGAGAAGAAGAGAATAGAGAAATATAGCTAGCCAGCTCTTAATTAGAATCTCAGCACATCCAATATATAATATATATATATATATATATAGTTGCAAAGCCGGCCGGCCAGTATCATCTATATCCATGGCCGCCGCCGCATGTGCAGCTGCTGCCTTGTGCAGATTCTTGAATGTGAGGGCTTTTGCATTCCTTCTCCTAGTCTCCTTTGTGTGTTCACTATCATTTGATCTGCCATCCATAGTTCCTGCCGATACAAATGTGCGCATCAAAGTCGAAGGAGATGCATCTATCACAACCCAGGGACTCCAACTCACACCATATGATCGCAAAGACGTGTTGAATTACAACGCCGCCGGTAGAGCCAGGTACAATGATCCGGTTCACCTATGGGACAACGTTACTAGAGAATTGGCTGATTTTACCACGCATTTCACTTTCAACATCGACTCTGACGGTAACGCTAGCTTTGCTGATGGAGTGGCCTTTTTCCTGGCGGATTTTTCCACCCCATTCAACAAAACTGCCACGGCTGGTGGCGGGCTTGGCCTTATGGATACCACTCTAGAAACGAGCCCAGAGCCTTTCGTTGCTGTGATGTTCGATACCTTCTCAAACGAGGAAAATGCCCCTTGGACAAGTGTAAGTATCAACCTCGGATCTTGGAACAAATCTGCTAATACCACAGACTGGCTGAATGACGTTAAGAGGGGGAAGGATAATAATGCTTCCATTACATACACTGCTAGTTCCAAGATGCTCCAGGTTGTTTTCACTGGATATTCAGGTGGTGACCGCTACACAGACAGCCTTAGCTATGAGGTTGATTTGAGAGATTACTTGCCAGAATTCGTTAGCGTTGGCTTCTCAGCTGCAACAGGATATTTCTTTGAGAAAAACACTGTAAGCTCGTGGCGTTTCAATTCCACTCCACTCAGCTCCGACACTACTGTTTCTCCCCCGCCAGCTCCAAGTCCTTCTAAGGGAACACACTCACTTCCACCTCCCACTACCCAAAACCACAAGAAAGGACTATTAGTGATAGTAGGATGGAGTATCGGTGTTGTAATTTTACTTGCTCTGCTGGCTTTAGCCATCTATATCTGTTTCAAGAAGAGATGGGCAGCAAAAGGAAATAATCAGATTACTCTTGGTCGGCCAATGAATGATGATAATACTCAGATTATTATCGATGGGGCAATGGACAGTACTCAGGTTGCTCTCGGTCGGGCCATGGACGGTGAATTTCAGATGGTTGGCAGTGGAGCTAAAAAGTTCTCGTACAGTGAATTGGCAACTGCAACTAACAACTTTTCAGAGGAGCGGAAGCTTGGAGAAGGGGGGTTTGGTGGGGTTTATTCAGGTTTCTTAAGGGACTTGAACATGAATGTGGCTGTGAAGAGAGTATCTAAACAGTCTAAACAAGGGGTTGAGGAATACACATCAGAAGTAAAGATCATCAGCCGATTGAGACATAGAAACTTGGTACCACTTCACGGTTGGTGTCACGACAAAGGGGAGCTGCTGCTTGTTTATGAATACATGCCAGGAGGCAGCTTAGACTCCCATCTCTTCAAGAGAAACTCACCCTTGAGTTGGAGGCTCAGGTATAAAATTGCACAAGGCTTGGCCTCAGCATTGTCCTATCTGCACGAAGAATGGGAGAAATGTGTATTGCACAGGGATATTAAGTCTAGTAATGTCTTGTTGGATGCAAGTTTGAATGCTAGACTGGGTGATTTTGGGTTGGCCTGGCTCGTTGACCATGAAAACGCACCCGAGAAAACATATTTGGGAGGGACACCAGGGTACGTAGCTCCAGAATGTCACTTCACACTCAAGACCAGCAAAGAATCTGATGTCTACAGTTTTGGAATCGTTGCATTAGAAATTGCCTGTGGACGAAGAGCAATTTTTCCCAATGGACCAGAAGGTATGAAAAGCTTGGTGGATTGGGTTTGGGATTTGTATGGAATGGGAAAGCTACTTGAAGCTGCAGACCCTAAACTGTGCGAAAACTTTGATGAGCAAGAAATGGAGCGGCTAGTGGTTATGGGGCTGTGGTGTGCTCACCCCGATAACAACTCTCGCCCAAGCATAACCCAAGTTGTGCATTGCCTAAAATTCCAATCCCAATTGCCCATCCTTCCACCAAAGATGCCGAAGCCAGTTTACTCAACTTGTACAAGTGCAATCTCGTTTTCAGGTTCAAATTCCTCTGGGACCGAACCTTTTGAGTACCATACCAATTCCAGCCGCGACAGCACACGTTTAACCTCGTCTTCAGTGTCTGGAGGCTCATCAACATCTGCCTCACTTCCGCAGATATTCTGAAGCTACCAAATTTCCTGTCTTCTACCATACTCAGTTAAAAACTTTGCATTTTCTGTAATGGATTTCTGTATGTTTGCTTTGAATTCATATGTGCTTGTTTAATGTCTTAGATGAACAATGATATATCTGTACCTGTTTTGTAATTTGCTGTTAATTGTTTTGTAGCTTTGTGATTTGATTATTTGGTTAGAGGTTAATATTGTATTAGGTGTTCAACACACATTGATTTGGGACTCATAACAAAAACAAAATTTGAAACTCAAAAAGAGTTGTTAAGGGGGTTGAGCATAATTTTCGTTGCAAAAGGTCACGATTTTAATTTTTACCTAAACTTTCTTGGTTGAACTGAGACCCAACTGAGCAAAGGCTCGAAACCTAAACCTCCCATATAGGGGAGCAATCCGATACCAGTGGACCACAAGCCACTTGGTCTTCACCATATATTTATATAACATGAAGATGTATGCTTTCTTTTATTTATTTATATAAGCAAGATTTTATAACTATATCACTTATAATTATTAGGGTATCATCAATAGATAAGTTTTTAGGTGCCAAATAAGAGAGAAGAGATATAAAAATGTGTGAAAAAGAAAAGAAAAAGAAAAAAACAAAACTGAAAATATTCTGACCCACAAACTTCCTTCTCTCTTGGTGGGATCCACCGATGGAAAAAAAAAAAAAAAAAAGAACTTGATATTTGCAAGAGCAACCTACTCCTTCTCTCTCCTCCCTCTCTCTCTTCCAATTTGGCATTTTTTCTTAAAAAATTGTGAACAATCCCATTGGGAATGCTCTTATAATTTTTGTGTGGACCAAGAATTTCTTTGAAGGTGATTGGTAGTTGGTACATGATACAAAAAACTTTTCCCTAAACCGGGGGAGGGAACAGGTCACTATCCATACATAAGACTTGAGAGGATAACAACTGTGAGTCTTTGTCTAATAGTGCCTTATAAACACTATGGGTCATGAGTGGACTTGCAAGTCTTTGTACCTCCAATAATGTCGAGTTGTCCCTTATTAAAAAGAGAGGAAAAGTTCATGTCGTCACAAAATAATTGTCAGTCTTCCATGCAGGGTGGATCCAGAGAGGTAATGGGGGTAGTTTCTGTCCTTCCCACCCCACCCGGCCCCCCTTATATATAAAAATTGTTAAAGCTAAGGTTGCAATAGCTAAGTTGATATAAAAGGTTACATGCCACTAATTTGCATCTATCTTCTGACTTCTGCAAGTACTATGTTGTACGTTGAATTGATGTTAGTGGATGCGATTTAAGGAAAGACGACAAGAAATTGAATGCAGTTAATACTGCAGAGCTAGCGTGGACTTAGGTTGGAAGTCTTCGATAAATGTTACTTGTATGTTACGGTGAGAGTAATTATATTTTATTAGTAGGATCTCAGCCCAACTTCTCCCATCCATTGTTAGCTAGAGATAGCAATTGCCACTAGCTAGCACTTAAAAGTATTTCTTTCTAAGCCGCCATGGCAGCAGCTTCCCCCTTGTGCTCATTCTTGAATATCTCAGCCTTTCTATTCCTTGTGCTTGCATCTTCTGTGTCTTCACTCTCATTTAACTTCTCTCATATTGGTCCTGACGATGGAAATATGCACATCATAGTGGAAGGAGATGCATATATCACAAACCAGGGCATCCAACTCACACCATACGAACGCAACCAGGCGTTGAATGGCAAAGCCGGTCGAGCACTATATGTTGATCCGTTGCACCTATGGGACAACGCTACTGGAGAATTGGCTGATTTTACCACTCGTTTCACTTTCAACATCGACTCCGATGGTAACACTAGCTATGCTGATGGATTAGCCTTTTTCCTGGCCAATTTTTCCACCCAATCCAATCAAAGTCCTATCCCTGGAGGTGCTGGCCTTGGCCTTCTGGATACAACTTCTTCAAGCACGATTTCAGACCTTGTGGTTGCTGTGGTGTTCGATACCTACTCAAACCAGGAGAATATCCCAATGACAAATGTAAGTATCAACATCAATTCTATGGAAAAATGTGTTACTAGCACCGCGTGGTTCAACAACGTTACACAGGGGAAGGATAACAATGCTTCCATTACTTACACCGCCAGTTCCAAGATTCTCCAGGTTGTTTTTACAGGGTTTTCAAAAGGTCATTACCAGACAGGCAGCCTTAGCTATAAGGTTGATCTGAAGGATTACTTGCCCGAATATGTTAGCTTTGGCTTCTCAGGTGCAACCGGAGATTACTTTGAGAAAAACACTGTCAGCTCATGGCAGTTCAATTCCACTCCACTCACCTCTGTCTCCAACTCCAGCTCCAGCTCCAGCTCCAAGTCCTCTCACTACCCAAAACCATAATAATATTAGTAGTTTAGTCAATCCTGAAGGAAAGAATTCGAACAAGAAGAAAGGTCTAGAGATAGCAGGATTCAGTATTGGTTCTCTCATTATACTTCTTCTGCTGCCTTTAGCCATCTATACCTGCTGTTTCAAGAAGATATGGGCAGCAAAAGGCGATAATCAGATTCCTCTTGATCCGTCATCAATGGATGATACTCGGATCATTATTGCTGACGATACTCAGAGTACTCTTGTTCGGGGAATGGACAGCGAATTTGAGAAGGCTGGCAGTGGGGCTAAAAAGTTCTCATACACTGAATTGGCAACTGCAACTAACAACTTCTCAGAGGAGCGGAAGCTTGGAGAAGGGGGGTTTGGTGGGGTTTATTTGGGTTTCTTGAGGGACTTGAACTTGGATGTGGCTGTGAAGAGAGTATCTCAGCAGTCTAAACAGGGGGTCGAGGAATACGCATCAGAAGTAAAGATCATCAGCCGATTGAGACACAGAAATTTGGTGCCACTTCACGGTTGGTGCCACGAGAAAGGCGAGCTGCTGCTTGTGTATGAATACATGCCAGGAGGCTGCTTGCACTCCCATCTCTTCAAGAGAAAGTCACCATTGAATTGGATTCTCAGGTATAGAATTGCACAAGGTTTGGCCTCAGCTTTGTCCTATCTGCACGAAGACTGGGAACAATGTGTTTTGCACAGGGACATCAAGTCCAGTAATGTCCTGCTGGATTCAAGCTTCAATGCCAGACTTGGTGATTTCGGGTTGGCCTCACTAGTTGACCATGAAAAAGCCCCCGAAAAAACTTATTTAGGCGGGACACCAGGTTACGTAGCCCCAGAATGCTACTTCACGTTTAAGACAAGCAAAGAATCAGATGTCTACAGCTTTGGAATCGTGGCGTTAGAAATTGCATGCGGACGAAAATCAATTCTTCCCAATGTACCAGAAGGTGAGAAAAGCTTGGTGGATTGGGTTTGGGATTTGTATGGAATGGGTAAGGTACTCGAAGCTGCAGATCCTAAGCTATGCGGAAACTTTGAAGAGCAAGAAATGAAAAGGCTAATGGTTATCGGGCTGTGGTGTGCTAACCCGGACAATACCTCTCGCCCAAACATAAGCCAAGTTGTGCACTGCCTAAAATTCCAAGTGCAATTGCCCATCCTTCCACCAAAGATGCCCAAGCCAGCTTACTCTAACAGTGCAGTCTCGTATCCAGCTTCCTATTCCCCTAGACAGGAGGTTGAGTCCCATACAAATTCCAGTCGCAACACACGTTTGTCTTCATCTTCTGTGTCTGCAGGTTCTTCAACATCTGCCTCGCTTCCTCATACATCCTAAGGGCACCAACATCTCGGAAACTCGCAGCCACTATTAGATGGTGGGCGTTGAATAAACTTGTCATATATATGTACTTGTTTGCTAAATGAACAATGATGTCGTCTCTAATTTGCATGTGCCGGTTTGGTAATTTGTTGTTAGTTGTTATTGTAGTTTTGTGATTTGACCTTTTGGTTTATGGCCTTGTTGAATTTCCAAGAATATGTTTCGGAGGTAATGTAAGATTTTTGATAGTGATTTTGTAATTCACAATAGCAGCCTATGAGGGAAGTCCAGGACTTTTCCATGTTAACATATGCAGGTTTTTAAGCATTACTTCACTTTTGCACACAATCCAAGAGTATATCAACATAATAATGAAATTTTTTTAATTTTTGAATTTCATTTCGTAAAAATGGTTGGGAGTTCGGGTTCTTTAATTTTTGTGTGGCCAAGAATTTCTTTGAAGGTGATTGCTACATGAGACAAAGAACTTTTCCCTAAACCGGGGTTGGGAGCAGGTGATAACAACTGTGGGTCTTTGTACCTCGATGTTGAGTCGTCCTTTGAATAGAAGAAAGGAAAAACTCATGAGTTCTACTATGCAAACTCTCAAATTCTATTTTCTGAGGTGGCAAATAATGATTGATTATTTTTATTATGTGGATCTACAGAAAAATGTCTACATCCAAAACTTATGAGAGAGAATACAAGTTGAGAGTATAAAATGAGAGTACACCAAGTATTTTTCAAACTCATGTTTCTCTGGTTGTCGGGTTCTCCAAACGCCGGTGACCGTTCGATCCCCGATAGCCGGTATTTGTCATTGGAAATTGGTCCGAGGCATGTCAGAGTTGGCCAAAGGATTTTAGAATCCTAGTGACCTGTAATTATAAGTCATCAATGTCCTAAAATAACATGTTTATGAGTTCAACTGTAATTTTTAAAAATTTAAAGGCTTAATTGATTTTTTCAAAGTAAAGTTTAAGACCTATTTGATGACTCTTTTTCCATTTTAAAATGGCTAAATTTTTACTTGAAGTTGCTTGAAAAGCCTAATGGATTGAGGTGTTATGGTTATGGGAAAAAGTTTAGCTTGACAAAAATCAACCTAGCTAGCTAATTCGAGGCAAATTATTGTATGGACCATAATCCAAAACGACGTCGTTGAATTTTATAAGTTAGAATAATGTATAGTACATTATGGGTTAGAATAAAGTACTTTATGTGTTAGAACAATGAAACTTCTAAAGTAAGATAATATATTTTATGCTTTAGAATAATGTATATGCTTTAGAATAATGTAAATTATGAGTTATAAAAATGTATATTGCAGTAAGTTGTGTGAAGAAAAAGAATTGCCCAAAACTATATGGCTTGTTGTACGTGTTCCGCACGCACGCAATAACTTTAAGCCGGGCTTATGGTTTGAGTGGGCTCATCTATCTAAAATCGAGTCTTCTTGCTAGCTTCAAAGTAAAAATTGCCCGTCAGATGGAATGTAGAGCGTGGACTAGCAAGTCTTCGATCTTACTTGCATGTTACGTTGAGTTCATCGTGACATGCACCAATTATTGATTCCCAGTTCTCCATTGTTAGAGATAGCAATCCAATCACCACTACCACAATACTCATTGCACCAGCTGATTACAAATAACCATGTCACAAGCTTCCTTGTTCAGATTCTTGAATATCTGGGTTTTCCTCTTCTTTCTGCTTCTCACTTTAGCTTGCTCGCTCTCATTCAAAATCTCTCATATCGATCAAAAGGACGCAAACAAGCAAATCGAGGTCGCCGGAGACGCATATATCACCGACCAGGGCATCCAACTCACACCATATGATCGCAACCGGGCGTTGAACGGCAAAGCCGGTCGAGCAAGGTACGTGGAACCATTTCACCTATGGGACAACGCCACTGGAAATTTGGCTGATTTTACCACCCATTTCACCTTCAACATCGACTCCGACGGTAACGCTAGCTATGCCGATGGATTAGCCTTCTTCCTGGCGAACTTCACCACCCCATTCAATCAAACCATCCCCGGCGGCGCCGGCCTTGGCCTTCTGGATCCAAAGCTAATAACAACCTCGGAGCCTGTCGTGGCGGTGGCGTTCGATACCTACTCAAACCCGAAAGATATCCCCATGACAAATGTAAGTATCAACGTCAAATCTATGCGAGTTCCTGCTATTAGCACACCATGGCTCAACAACATTACACAGGGGAAGGATAACAACGCTTCCATTACTTATAATGCCACTTCCAAGATTCTCCAGGTTTTTTTCACAGAATTTTGGAATGGTAGTTACCACACAGGTAGCCTTAGCTATGAGGTTGATCTGAAAGATTACTTGCCGGAATTCGTTAGCATTGGCTTCTCGGGCGCAACAGGAATGTTCTTTGAGAAAAACACTGTCAGTTCATGGGAGTTTGATTCCACTCTACTCATCAGCTCAGGCTCGGCCAATAACTTTTCTGTGTCGCCAGCTACCCAGAACCATACTATTAGTAATTTAGTAAATCCAGAAGGAAAGAGCAAGAAGAAAGGTATAGAGACAGCAGGATTCAGTATTGCTGTTCTCACTTTACTTGCTGTGATGTCTCTTGTCATCTATAAATGTTTCAAGAAGATAAAGACAGCAAAAGGCAATGATAATCAGAATACTAATGCTCGGGCAATGGACGATACTCGTCAGAGTACTCTTGTTCGGGAAATGGACGGTGTGTTTCAAAAGGCTGGCACTGGAGCTAAGAGGTTCTCATACAGTGAATTGGCAACTGCAACTAACAGCTTCTCAGAGGAGCAGAAGCTTGGAGAAGGGGGATTTGGTGGGGTTTATTTGGGTTTCTTGAGGGACTTGAACTTGGAGGTGGCTGTGAAGAGAGTATCTAGCCAGTCTAAACAAGGGATTGAGGAATACGCATCAGAAGTAAAGATCATCAGCCGATTGAGACACAGAAATTTGGTGCCACTTCACGGTTGGTGCCACGAGAACGGGGAGCTGCTGCTTGTTTATGAATACATGCCAGAAGGCAGCTTAGACTCCCATCTCTTCAAGAGAAAGTCACCTTTGAATTGGAGGCTCAGGTATAGAATTGCACAGGGCTTGGCCTCAGCTTTGTCCTATCTGCATGAAGAGTGGGAACAATGTGTATTGCATAGGGACATTAAGTCCAGCAATGTCCTGTTGGATTCAAGCTTCAATGCTAGACTTGGTGATTTTGGGTTGGCCTCACTAGTTGACCATGAAAAAGCACCTGAAAAAACCTATTCGGGAGGGACACCAGGGTACGTAGCCCCAGAATGTCACTTCACATTCAAGACCAGTAAAGAATCAGATGTCTTTAGTTTTGGAATTGTGGCACTCGAAATTGCATGTGGGCGAAAGGCAATTCTTTACAATGTACCTGACGGTGAGAAAAACTTGGTGGATTGGGTTTGGGATTTGTATGGAATGGGAAAGGTACTCGAAGCTGCAGATCCTAAGCTATGCCAAGACTTTGAGAAGCAAGAAATGGAGCGGTTAATGGTTATAGGGTTATGGTGTGCTCACCCTGACAAGAGCTCTCGCCCAAACATCACTCAAGTTGTGCATTGCCTAAAATTCAAAGTGCAATTGCCCATCCTTCCACCAAAGATGCCCAAGCCAGTTTACTCAACCTCTTCAAGTGCAGTCTCATTTTCAGCTTCCTATTCCTATGGAACCCAAGCTGTTGAGAGGCAGGAGTTTGAGTACCATACCAATTCCTCCGGCAACACAGGTTTCACTTCATCTTCGGTGTCTGTAGTTTCTTCAACATCTGCTTGGTGATCTCAGTTTCGCCAGACTAGTTCTAAGCTCACAGAACCCACTCCTAGAGTCACCACTGCAAAGGTGAATTGCGAATCGCACAATTCAATTAGCCCATCAGTTAGACTCTACACAAGGAGGGTACCAACTAACATCTTTGATTTCCCTATCTTCTATGTTAAAAACTTTACATTATCTGTTATTGGTTTCTGTATGTTTCGGTTAAGTCATATACTCATATGTGCATGTTAGCTAGATAAACAATGGCATCTCTGTGCCTGTTTGGTAATTTGCTATTAATTGTTATTTGTAGTTTTGTGATTTGATCATTTGGTTTATTATATGTATTCTCACATTTTGCTCAATTTTTATTTCTACTAATATACCATGCTCTAACTAATGAAAAATTAAAAAAAAAAAAATGAAACACAATTTTTATTTCATTTTTCTATTTTTTCCTTTAATAAAATATTGACATGGTGCTATAATTTTATTCTAGAAAGTACACTTGTCATTTTCCTTATTCAAAAGAAGGGAAATTTTGTCCAAAAGAGGTCTCGTACTAGTTGCAAGTTCAATCAATTCCCTCTTGCTCGAATTCGTTGTGTTTACTCAATGCATATCCTCAAAAAAAAAAAAAAAAATTATATTTCGCTCTAACTCAAAGTCAAACTTGGAATCTTGTATTTATCAAGCTAACAGCCCGACTATCTTGGACCGAAGTTGCCCTAAAAAAATTTGTATTTCAAAGTGCAGTTGGAAGATACAATATTATCAAAAAGTTAGTAGCGACAACTTTGCTATAACTTGTGATATTTTGCAAGTTGCTGAATTGATGGAAGTGGTTATAATTTCAGAAAAATGAAAATCTATCAGACTAATTAAGTAATTAGAGTTTCTTCGAACTATGACAAAACACGAAATGTTGGTGCATGTTACTTAAATTAATAGATGCCCAATTGCTCATAATGTAGGGGCAATGTATTAAACGTAGAGGCCACTAGAGCTATCAAAAGTCAAAATAAGTTTAGTCACAATATAATAGTCAAATTTATATACTATAAGCATATAAATAAATTAAGGAGGGGATAATCACAGCTAAGATGGTCGGAGTGTTAGCTTGATAACCATAAAAGCTCTAAGTTCTACTCTGGGGAGATATGTAACAATAGTTTTGAGGAACAATAAGTTGTCAAAAATACACCTAATTGGCTAATTTGAAGTTTTCAAATAGCCAAAGGTACCATATTGATTAGTTTCTTATTTGAACATGTTGTCCTTCCCTCCTTTATTTAATAGAGAAAATGCAATTTTCTATTTAAGGTGCAGCTCATCAGTGTCATACAATATTATGAGAGCTTACCAAAAGTCAAAAGATACTAATTGCATTGATTTGCCACAGCTTGTAATATTCTGCCATCCCAGGCCAATAATTTAATTTGCAGCAGCTTGTTATAGCTAGTTGAATTGATCCAATTGGTCGAAATTCCAGGAATAATTGATCCAATTAATTAGTTCTTCTTCATTAATTAGGATCTCGATCATATCAGCGCAATACTTGTTGTATTTTGCGCTCTCATTCAGAGTCAAACTTTGAATCTTGTATTTATCAAGTTAGCTCGACCATTGTGACCAAAGTTGCCCTAAGAAAATTTGTATTTCAAAGTGCAGTTGAATGATACAATATTATTAGAAAGTTAGTAGCTTCTGAGTTTCTTCATTTAGCTTGTTATCAGAAACGGTTAAATTGGCGTTGGTCAAAATACAGGTAATTTGAAGTTTAAAAATAGCCACAAGTCTCACAAGTACCATGGAAACCATGCATACTGATTGGGTACAGCTTATAATATTCTGCAAGTAGGGCGTGGACTAGCAAAGTCTTGCTGCCTGGATTAATAGACCCATCACCAGATCGACTATGTAGTTGGCTTCTTCAAAACAGTAGGGTGTGGACTAGCAAAGCAAAGTCTTGCTGCCTGGATTAACGTTGAGTTCTTGGTGATAGCAATGGCGGCGGGCCTGTGCAGATTCTTGAATATCTGGGCTTTTCTGGTCCTTGTGCTTGCCTCTTTAGTGAGCTCCCTCTCATTTGATCTCACTCGTATTGGTCCTTCGGATGCGAATGTGCGCATCAAAGTGGAAGGAGACGCATCCATCACAACCCAGGGCATCCAGCTCACACCATATGAACGCAACTCGGTGTTGAATGGCAAAGCCGGTCGAGCAATGTATGTGGATTCGTTGCACCTATGGGACAAGGCTACTGGAGAATTGGCTGATTTTACCACCAATTTCACTTTCAACATCGACTCTGATGGTGACACTGAATTTGGTGATGGATTGGCCTTTTTCCTTGCCAAATTTTCCACCCCGTTGAATCAAACTGCCATTGCTGGTGGCAGCCTTGGCCTTGTGGATCCGGATCTAGTGACAAGCCCAGAGCCTTTCGTTGCCGTGGTGTTTGATACCTTTTCAAGCCAGGAGAATAAACCTCTGACTAATGTAAGTATCAACGTTAAATCTATGAAACTACCTGCAACTAGCATAGCTTGGCTGAACAACATCACACAGGGGATGAATAATATTGCTCGCATTACTTATAATGCTAGTTCCAAGTTTCTCCGGGTAGATTTCACAGGATTTTGGGATGGTGACTACCAGACAGACAGCCTTAGCTATGAGCTTGATCTGAGGGATTACTTGCCAGAATTTGTTAGCATTGGCTTCTCAGCGGCAACAGGATTATTATTTGAGAAACAGACTGTCAGCTCGTGGCATTTCGATTCCACTCCACTGAGGTCGGGCAGTGTTTCTGTGTCGCCAGAGCCAAGCCCTTCTAAGCCAGCACCTCCCACTAGCCATACAGTCGTCATCCCAGAAGAAAAGAGCAGCAAGAAAGGGCTAGTGATCGGACTGAGTATTGGTGTTTTAGTTTTTGTTGTTCTGCTGGGTTTAGCCATCTATACCTGTTTTAAGAAGAAATGGGCATCAAAAGGAGACAATCCGATTGTTCTTGGTCGGCCAATTGACGATAATCAGAATACTATTGGTCGAGCAATGGACGGTGAATTTGAGAAGGCTGGCAGTGGGGCTAAAAAGTTCTCATACACTGAATTGGCAACTGCAACTAACAGCTTCTCAGACGAGCAGAAGCTTGGAGAAGGGGGGTTTGGTGGGGTTTATTTAGGTATCCTAAGGGGCATGAAGGTGGCTGTCAAGAGAGTTTCCAGGGAGTCTAAACAGGGGAAGGAAGAATACGCATCAGAAGTGAAGATCATCAGCCGATTGAGACATAGAAATTTGGTGCCACTTCACGGTTGGTGCCACGAGAAAGGGGAGTTGGTGCTTGTTTATGAATACATGCCTGAAGGAAGCTTAGACCACCATCTCTTCAAGAAAAACTCACCCTTGAATTGGAAACTCAGGTATAGAATTGCACAAGGCTTGGCCTCAGCTTTGTCCTATCTGCACGAAGACTGGGAACAATGTATATTGCACAGGGACATTAAGTCCAGTAATGTCCTGTTGGATTCAACCTTCAATGCTAGACTCGGTGATTTCGGGTTGGCCTGGCTGGTTGACCATGGAAACGCACCCCAAAAAACCTATCTAGGAGGGACACCAGGATACATAGCCCCAGAATGTCACCGCACATACAAGACCAGCAAACAATCAGATGTCTATAGCTTTGGAGTCGTGGCATTAGAAATTGCATGTGGGCGAAGAGCAATTATTCCCAATGGACCCGAAGGTGTGATAAGCTTGGTGGATTGGGTTTGGGATTTGTATGGAATGGGAAAGCTACTCGAAGCTGCAGATCCTAAGCTATGCAGGGACTTTGAAGAGCAAGAAATGGAGCGGTTAATGGTCATCGGGCTGTGGTGTGCTCACCCTGACAGTGACGCTCGCCCAAAAATTAGCGAAGTTGTGCATTCCCTAAAATTTCAAGTGCAATTGCCCATTCTTCCACCAAAGATGCCCAAGCCAGTCTACTCAACGTGTACTAGTGCAGTCTCGTTCAGTAGTGAGTACCATACCAATTCCAGCAGCAACACACATTTCACTTCATCTTCAGTGTCTACAGGTTCTTCAACATCTTCCTCAGTTTTGCAGACATTCTGAGGGTACCAACATCATTAATTCCCCTATATGTTGTACCCATTTTAAAACATTATATTAAATTATCTGCTTTAATTTGGATGGATTTCTATGTTTCTGTCTGCTTTGATTCCATTGACAGGTTTCATGTTTGCATGTTTAGGAGATGAACAATGAATTGTGTTTCTCTTGCCAATTTTAGTCCCACAAATATTAGTAAATAACAGTTTTGGTCCACATGTAGTATCTGGTCATATACTTTCTCTGAGGCTCGAACTCACAACCTTCTAAATGAAAGTCCAACCCCAGTACGATTAGACCACATAGTCTTGGTCATTGCGCGTAGTTTAAATGGTCCATTTTTTGCTTCCCTTTCCCAGCTTTTTCCTTCTTTCATTTCTGCACAGTCAATCGATCATGTCAACTGTCAAGGGGAATATAATATACTCCCCAAAAAATATATATATATTCAAAAATCCAGTGGGTGAAAGTGACCATCAATCAACCGCCAGCAATCACGGTTTTCCGTTTCCAAAGTTGTCAGTAAACATAAACTTCGTAAAATTTAAGGAGACTTTTGCAACAATACAATATGTGAGTACAGTAGCGGCAATTTCAGGAAAAGAAAACATGCATTAATTAGCTATGAGTCCTTCAAGCTGGTTGCATGCATACATGCATACCAGCTGGCCAGAATATAGTCAATGTAAAGCTTGGACTAGCAAGTCTTCTAACCTGCCTAAATCTTCTGTCCTTAACTTGGTTAGAACTTATATTATTTGTTAGGCCAAATTCTTAATCCAAGCTCTATATTCCAAGCCATGGCAGCAGCTTCCCAGTGCAGATTATTCTTGAATATCTTCCCCTTTCTGTTCCTTTTGCTTGCCTCTTTAGTGTGTTCGTTCTCATTTGATCCGCCCAGTTTCAGTCCTGGCGATGCAAATGTGCGCATCAAACTCGAAGGGGATGCATATATCACAGACCAGGGCATCCAACTCACACCAAATGAAGCCGAATCGGATCAGTTGATGAGGAACAAAGCCGGTAGAGCAACGTATGTGGAACCATTGCACCTATGGGACATGGCTTCTGGAGATTTAGCTGATTTTACCACCAATTTCACTTTCACAATCAGCTCAAATGGTAGCAGCAGCTATGGTGATGGGCTAACATTTTTCTTGGCGAATTTTTCCACTCCATTGAATATAACTCTCACTAACGGTGGCGGGCTTGGCCTCATGAATGAGACTCAACCAACACCGCCACCAGATCGTTTCGTTGCTGTGGTGTTCGATACATTCTCTCGCCAGGAGAAGCAATCTCGGACAAATGTAAGTATCAACATAAATTCCATGTTAGAACCTGTTATAATCAAACCATGGGTGAATGATATTGCACGAGGGATGTCCAATACTGCTTCCATAACTTATACTGCTAGTTCCAAGATTCTCCAAGTTAATTTTACAGGATTCTGGGATGGCCAGTGCCTGACAGACAGCCTTAGCTATAAGGTTGATCTGAGGGAATACTTGCCCGGATTTGTTAGCATTGGCTTCTCAGCTGCAACAGGATGGTTCTTTGAGAAAAACTTTGTCAGCTCGTGGCAGTTCAGTTCCACTCTCTCGCAAGCTCCAAGTCCTTCTCCTCAACCACAACACACGGTTCTTGCTCCAGGTCCCGGCACTAGCCTGAACCGAAACAATACTAATATGGTCTCATCAGAAGGAAGCAGAAAACATAATAAGAAAGGACTAGTGATAGCAGGATTGAGTATTGGTGTCCTGGTTTTCATTGCACTGCTGTCTATAGCCATCTTTGCCTGTTTTAAGAAGACACGGGGAGCGAACAGAAACAACCAGATTATCCTTGGTGCAGCAATGGAAGGTCATGAATTTGAAATGGCTGGCTATGGGCCTAAAAACTTCTCATACAGTGAATTGGCAGCTGCAACTGACAACTTCTCAGAGGAGCATAAGCTTGGAGAAGGGGGGTTTGGTGGGGTTTATAGTGGTTTCTTAAGGGACTTGAACTTGGATGTGGCTGTGAAGAGAGTATCTAGCCACTCCAAACAGGGGATTGAGGAATACACATCAGAAGTAAAGATCATCAGCCAATTGAGACACAGAAATCTGGTGCCACTTCACGGTTGGTGTCACGAGAACGGGGAGCTCCTCCTTGTTTATGAATACATGCCAGGAGGCAGCTTAGACTCCCATCTCTTCAAGAGAAAGTCACCTTTGAATTGGAGGCTTAGGTATAAAATTGCACAAGGCTTGGCCTCAGCTTTGTCCTATCTGCATGAAGACTGGGAACAATGTGTGTTGCACAGGGACATTAAGTCCAGTAATGTCCTGTTGGATTCAAGCTTCAACGCTAGACTCGGTGATTTCGGGTTGGCCTGGCTGGTTGACCATGAACAAACACCCGAGAAAACCTATTTAGGAGGTACACCAGGGTACGTAGCTCCAGAATGCCACATCACATTCAAGACCAGCAAAGAGACAGATGTCTTTAGCTTCGGAGTCGTGGCACTGGAAATAGCATGTGGACGTAAAGCAATTCTTGCCAACAAAAGAGAAGATAGGAAAAGCTTGGTGGACTGGGTGTGGGATTTGTACGGAATGGGAAGGCTACTCGAAGCTGCAGATCCTAAGTTATGCGGAAACTTTGAAGAGCAGGAAATGGAGCGGTTAATGATTATCGGGCTATGGTGTGCTCACCCCGATAGTAGCTCGAGACCAAAAATAAGCCTAGCTTTACATTGCCTAAAATTCCAAGTGCAATTGCCCATCCTTCCAGAAAAGATGCCCAAACCAGTTTACTCATCAACTCTTCCTAATGCTCTATCCTTTCCAGCTTCCCATTTCTCTGGAATCAAAAATGTTGAGATACAGGAGTTTGAATACCCTTCCAGTTCCAGCCACAACTCACGCTTCACTTCATCTTCGGCGTCTGCAGGCTCTTCACTCCCGTATACCATCTGACGCCATCAACAGTCAACACCCTTAGCTTCTTCTCCCTTGTACTAATTAAAAACATTACATTATCTGTTAAGGATTTCTGTCTGTTTTCTTTGAAGTCATACATTCATGTTTGCTAGATTAACAATGGATTAAGTACAAAAGAATTATATTAATTACATTACTTACATTTTAAGGATATGGTCCAGTTTTTCTTTCGGCCTTTTTCCTTTTTCCTTCTTTCATTTTTCATAGTCAATAGATCATGTCAAGGGGTATACATTCACCAGGGGGAGAAAGTGACGCATAAATCAGTCACCAGCAATCACGGTTTTTACTCTTTTTCTTTTTTGTTTTCTAAATTTATTGTCAATAAAGTAGAATATAAGAAGACTCTATAATAGACTCGGTGAGAGTTTAATTTGGTTCGATATACCATCCAGACTTAATAATTTAATGTTTATTCTTTTGGAGACTCCATGCACACATGCATAACAGCTGGATGGCGATGAGAATGTAGTCACTGTAAAGCCTGGACTAGCTAGCAAGTCTTAGAAATTAAAGCTGGATAAATGTTACGTTCAGTCCTTTGTTAGCACAGTTATTTCTTACTTCTTAGAATCTCAGCCCAATTCTTACACCAAGCCATGGCCACATTCTTGAATATCTCCAGTTTTCTGTATCTTGTGCTTATTCCCTCTTTAGTGTGTTCACTCTCATTTAATCTCTCTCAAATTGATCAAAACGTGAACATCCAAGTTGAAGGAAACGCATCCATCACAGACCAGGGCATCAAACTCACAAATGAATGTGAATCGGAATCAAATGACCAAGTAGGTGGAGCAAGGTATGTTCCTCCGTTGCACCTATGGGACAATACTTCTAAAGAGTTAGCTGATTTCACCACTCATTTCACTTTCAACATCCACCCAGATTATGGTAATGGCTATGCCGATTTTAATGTTTATGGTTATAGACTAGCCTTTTTCTTGGCCAAAAATTTCACCCCTTCCCAAACAATGCTATTTAGGAATGAGACTCACCCGACATCCACAGATCCTTTCGTTGCTGTGGTGTTCAATACATCCTCATACCAGAATAGTGTAAGTATAAATACTATATCTATGTTAGAGCCTATTACTGTCAAGACAGGGCTGAATGACACTACCAAGGATGGCGATGAGATGACTAATTATAATGTTTCCATTACTTATAATGCTAGTTCCGCGATTCTCCAAGTTGTTTTTACAGGGTTCGGGGATGTTCAGATAAACAACCTTACCCAAAAGGTTGATCTGAGCAAGTACTTGCCCGAATTCGTTAGTATTGGCTTCGCAGCTGCAACTCGAGGGTGCTTTGATGAAAACAATGTGAAGTCGTGGCGATTTGATTCCACTTCATTGAGGTCCAATGTTTCTCTGCCAGCTCCAAGTCCTGCTCAAGAACAGCCTGTTCCAGCTCCCACTAGCCCAACCCCAAGCCCTACCAAATTCAAGAAAAGACTAGAGATAGCAGGATTGAGTACTGGTGTTCTCATTTTACTTGCCTTGTTGGCTTCAGCCATCTGCTATACCTGTTTCAAGAAGAGATGGGCAGCAAAAAGAAAGAATCACGAGATTATTCTCGGTCCGGTGATGGTGGGTGAGTTTGAAATGGCTGGCTATGGGCCTAAAAATTTCTCATACAGTGAATTGGCATCTGCAACCAACAACTTCTCCGAGGAGCATAAGCTTGGAGAAGGGGGATTTGGCGGGGTGTATAGCGGGTTCTTACGGGACTCGAACTTGGATGTGGCTGTGAAGAGAGTATCTAGCCACTCCAAACAGGGGATTGAGGAATACACATCAGAAGTAAAGACCATCAGCCAATTGAGACATAGAAATTTGGTGCCACTCCACGGTTGGTGTCACGAGAATGGGGAGCTCCTGCTTGTTTATGAATACATGCCTGGAGGCAGCCTAGACTCCCATCTCTTCAAGAGAAGGTCACCTTTGCATTGGGGGCTCAGGTATAAAATTGCACAAGGCTTGGCCTCAGCTTTGTCCTATCTGCATGAAGAGTGGGAACAATGTGTATTGCATAGGGACATTAAGTCCAGCAATGTCCTGTTGGATTCAAGCTTCAATGCTAGGCTTGGTGATTTCGGGTTGGCCTGGCCAGTTGACCACGAACAAACACCCGAGAAAACCTATTTAGGAGGTACGCCAGGGTACGTAGCTCCAGAATGTCACATCACATTCAAGACCAGCAAAGAAACAGATGTCTATAGCTTCGGAGTCGTGGCGTTAGAAATTGCATGTGGACGAAAAGCAATTCTTGCCAATAAACGAGACGGTAGGAAAAGCTTGGTGGATTGGGTTTGGGATCTGTATGGAATGGGAAGGCTACTCGAAGCTGCAGATCCAAAGCTATGCGGAAACTTTGAAGAGCAAGAAATGGAGCGACTAATGATTATCGGGCTCTGGTGTGCTCACCCCGATAGTAACTCTAGACCGAAAATAAGCTTAGCTTTGCATTGCCTGAAATTCCAAGTGCAATTGCCCATCCTTCCTGCAAAGATGCCCAAACCAGTTTACTCAACTCTTCCAACTGCTTTATCATTCCCAAATTCCCATTTCTCTGGAATCAAAGCTGTTGAGATACAGGAGTTTGAGTACCCTTCCAGTTACAGCCGCCACTCTGCAGGCTCTTCACTCCCGCATACAGTCTGATGACACATTATCTGTTAAGGATTTCTGTCTGTTTTCTTTGAAGTCATATGTGCATGTTTGCTAATTTGTCGCTAATTATCATTGTAACTTTCTTATTTGACCATTTGCTTAGTGTTTAATATTTGTATAATTGTATTTGTTGGACCCAATTTCCCCAATGTAAATGCTGACTGACATCCGACGTGGTTTGCCATTAGCTGCCAAAGGCCCAAATGGCAGGGAATAATGAAATATTTAATCGTTTAATTATATCCCAAAATAATGAATATGAAAGATTCCGTAAACGTATGAAACTGGAACAGTTCACGTTCTTCAACTCATTAATCCTTATCGGCTCAATGTGATAATACCCAATTTAAAAAATTTCCAAAGTTGTAATTTTTGATTCACTCTCTTTTTACTATATACTCCAAATTGACATACCCAAGTGAGAGAGTTGAGTAGAGAAGCAAGGTAGAGGACTCCGGGAAATCTTTATCGATTCCGATCACAGATTTCCGGGGATAATGATGATGCAGTTCGCCGTCAATCGAGGTAATGGTTCTTTTTCTTTTTAATCCATAGTGTGTGTGTGTGTGTGTGTGTGTGTGTGTGTGTGTGTGTGTTTATGCGCCTTCCTGTTGGAATTGATACCCGTGTCTGTGGATGCAAGTGGAAGAAGACATTGATGAATTTCTTCGGAGTTGAAGTTCAGAACCCTAATTTCAAATTGATTGTGTGTGTTTTGCAGCTAGAAATGTGAGGTCTTTGAGTCCTCAGATTTATTGTCTTGCTAATTCTCATTTATCCACCGCAGCTGAGCCCTCGTGGAAGCATCGAACTTCGCCGGTCAGTTCTCCATCTCCCTCCTCTCTATATTTGTAAAACTGTAATCTTTATGTGAGATTGTGAGAAACAGTGGTTGTGTAGCTGAATAAGCTGATAGCTTTAGTGTGAAGGTTAAGAGTATAATTTTGGGCTAATGTATGAATCTTGGTCTTGTTTATCAGAGGCTTCCCAATTTGATTGGTGGCAGCTTTGTAGATTCGAAGTCATCGGAATCAATTGATGTTATAAACCCAGTAAGTGGGATCAGTTAAGGTTACATACTACTTTGTTCTATTTCAAAGTAGTATCTTATATTGATGATTGATTAATGGAATAGGCTACACAAGAAGTGGTGTCTCAGATACCGTTAACTACGAATGAGGAGTTCAAGTCTGCAGTTTCTGCTGCTAAAAAGGCATATCCATCATGGAAGAACACGCCTATCACGACAAGGCAGCGTGTCATGTTAAAGTACCAAGACCTTATACGGAAGAACATGGTTAGTGTTGTCATTGATCTTAAACTTCTCAATGTAGGAATTATGTTTTTTTTTTTCTCTCCTTATGATATATGTTGATTGGAGCTACTGCAATTTCTGCTCTAGGATAAGCTAGCCTTGAATATTACTACAGAACAGGGGAAGACATTGAAAGATGCCCAAGGCGATGTATTCCGTGGCTTAGGTTGGCTGCATTACTGCTTTACATCAGTTGAGGGATATATCATATATGTGACGGAGTTCAGCTCTCTTAACTTTTTCTTTTTCTTTTTTCGTTTTCAAAGAGGTGGTGGAACATGCATGTGGGATGGCAACCTTACAGATGGGAGAATATGTTTCTAATGTCTCAAATGGAATTGATACCTATAGCATAAGAGAGCCTTTAGGCGTTTGTGCCGGGATCTGTCCTTTTAACTTCCCAGCAATGATTCCTTTATGGGTATGTAACTTGCTGAAACTTGGCAACTTCGGGATTCATTAATATTGCCTCTACAACAACTTAGTTGGGAACTTAGAATTAAGGAAGAATTAAGGAAGACAACTTTTTTTTCCAGTATTATCTGTTTTAATACATTTCTCAGCAAGTTACCACCACGTTTTTTGGCACTTCAATGTCTGCAGATGTTTCCTGTTGCAGTTACATGTGGGAACACCTTCGTTCTTAAACCGTCAGAGAAAGATCCAGGTCAATCTGTTTATTCTGAAAACCGCAATGTATGTAGTTTCCATCTTTTGCAGTATTTAGCTCCATTTGCTGATTCCGTTTCTTCCCTTTTTCTCTGTGTTGCATTTTTCTTTCAGGTGCTTCCATGATGCTGGCCGAGTTGGCAATGGAGGCTGGGTTGCCTGATGGAGTTCTAAATATTGTTCATGGCACTCATGTATACTTTGCTCCAAAGAAATGATTATTATAATTAGTTTTCATTGTTCGTGCCATATGCTGATAGTCATGATCCAACTATCTTGCAGGACATTGTTAATGCTATATGTGATGATGAAGATATCAGAGCCGTATCTTTTGTTGGTTCAAATACAGTGAGTAAAACCTTTTTTTTCCTCAAGGATTAGCTTGTATAGATGTATGACTCTGACCAATTCTTGATTCTTCTTGATCTACCAGGCTGGAATGCATATTTATGCCAGGGCATCGGCCACAGGCAAACGTGTTCAGGTAAGAAGGAAAGGGGTGGAGGTTCTTCTCACTCGCTTCTATGCTGGGAATCAAAATTGAATGTCAGTGGTTACAATAAACTTCCACTAACTAGCGTTAAAATATCTTCAGTCCAACATGGGAGCCAAGAACCACGGCATTGTCATGCCTGATGCAAACGTTGATTCCACATTAAACGCTTTAGTTGCAGCTGGTTTTGGTGCAGCCGGACAAAGATGCATGGCGCTAAGTACAGTGGTGTTTGTTGGAGAATCAAAGTCATGGTACTCACCGTCTAATCATTATCATTCAGCTTTATTTTCAGCAAGTTGGATCAGTTTTAATGATGCAAGGAATCTGCAATCCTTGTAGGATAGAGGAATTGGTGGAACGTGCAAAAACCCTTAAAGTAAATGCCGGAACAGAACCTGATGCCGACCTTGGACCAGTTATTAGTAAACAGGTGGGTAAAAGCAATAATGTCCACACGGCTATTTGTAGAACCAAATGAGAAGGAAAGAGAATAATGTGTACAAATTGGTATCTTTCTGTCCTCGTTTATCTGGTAAATCAAGTCCCTTTTTGATGAATATTTTGTTCTCGTCATCCTTCAACCACAGGCAAAAGTCCGAATATGTAAATTGATTCAAAGTGGTGTTGATAGTGGGGCTAAATTATTGCTCGATGGAAGAAACATTGTGGTATGCTTTCATATTCAGTTAGTGCACCCATAGATAAGTTACATATATTCTCTACTTGCTATTGTATCGCTTAGCTCTTTTTGTTACTCCATATTATTCTCTCTCGTTTTTTGTTTTTTTTTTTAGTAATCAAAACTATCAAGTTGAATGTATCTGTTCTCTCGGTTGGATAATAGGTACCAGGCTACGAACAGGGTAATTTTATTGGCCCCACCATCTTGTCTGATGTTACTGCCGATATGGAGTGTTATAAGGTATAGTCCCCTCCCGGGAAGAAATTTCTTAGTTATATATGCAAAACCGAAAAGGTTATGAACTTCAAATCATAGCACACTAATGATTCTAAATACGGACTTCTACAGGAGGAAATCTTCGGGCCTGTTCTCATTTGTATGCAGGTTGGTTAGCATATTATATTACACGCACATTAATAAGTTCGTTCTTTTAATAAGTTCATATTGAGTAACAAACTGTTTTTATCAACTGTTTTAATAAGTTCATATTGAGTAAAAAAAAAAGTTGCTCGTGTTATTATCAACTTCATATTGAGTAACAAACTGTTTTTTGCTTCTCTTTAGGCTGACAGCTTAGAAGAGGCGATAAGAATTGTCAATAGAAACAAGTACTTCTCTATCCTTTTCATTTAGGAACTCAATGTTCTATACTCATGGCACGATCATCTATAGTAACATCGCCCTGCTTTTGTAGATATGGAAACGGTGCTGCTATATTCACTACATCTGGCATAGCTGCGAGGAAATTCCAAACCGAGATCGAGGCAGGGCAGGTAAGAAATTGATTCTTCTGCGTATGAAGCTAATCAGTTATGGCAAAGATACGCAAAACACTAATGTATGGATGAAACTAAACATAAAACTATATGCTTCTTTTGGCAGTAACATTTGTTGCTTTCCGATAGTTACAGTCTATCTTGATTGCTCGTGTTTTTTCTCTGAACCGCACTTCTCTGCCTCAGGTTGGCATCAACGTTCCCATTCCGGTTCCTCTACCCTTCTTCTCCTTCACAGGCTCCAAGGCTTCTTTTGCTGGAGACCTCAACTTCTACGGTAAACGCCATTTTCTTGAAAAAACTTACTAGTACCACTACTACCCTTTGTCTGCACTACTTTTTCAGAAATATAGCATAATCTCTGCTATACATTGTAGTTTACATATTTCTAGCAGAAGTTTTCGTATTATATCCCGCTTTTCTTTGTGACGATCTGTACTGTCTTTACCGGGATGAATTTGTAGGCAAAGCGGGGGTTAACTTTTACACACAGATCAAGACTATCACCCAGCAATGGAAGGATTTACCAGGTGGCTCTGGAGTATCTCTTGCAATGCCAACTTCTCAGAAATAGATAAATTAAACTATAGTTTCACTGTGGGGTTTTTACACTCTGATTATCACAAAACAATCTGTTGGTTCCATTTGAGGTTTTTATTTGCCTTGTAAACCAAAGGATGGAAGAATGTTTTGTCTGGTTTTTATTCAATAAGTCAAATCTGCATGCTCTTTTGCCATTTGAATTCGACTCTACCGCCCATCGCATTTGGTCTTCTTAGTGGATTGTTTTGTCGGTTTTTTATTCGTTAAGTCAAATCTGAATGCCCTTCCGCCATTTGAATTCAGCTCTGCTGCCCATCGCACAAGATCTTCCTAAGGAATGTGAATTTTTCTCCATCATTAAAAAAATTGCTTTTGTTCACCAAAATGTACAATCTAATCACTTTATTTGAGATGAAAATAAAATAATACAAAAGGTATGCATGCACCATGCATGTTTCTCATGCATTCCATAAATATATAATATATATTGGCAATTGGCATGCACATACAGATATTTTTAATTTTTAATCGATTTTGGTGGGCTGTATTGCGTTAACTTGATTATGACTTATAAAATATAATATTATATACACCAATAATAAGGTATATATGCACGCATCTGAATCATACATTTGGCATTTTGAGTAAGTTTTTCTCAATAGGTAATTGCAATAATACGATATAACTGATTAACATATTCTATATATAGCCAAAATCAATAGCCTA